TATCCACATTTGTTACAGGCACGCTGGTGGCTAAAAAGGCCAATACGAGATAGACACGTCGGATTGCAAAAGGCACAGCAGAAAGACTCCTTAGGTGGTATATTCTGCAAGGCACAATTCTTTCTGCTTTGCCTTTTCTCCTCGAGCGTGATCCTGCGTGCTTTCTCAAAGGAAGCAGCAGTGTTATAGATGGTGTGTCTCCAGGCCTCCTGATTGGAGGCCAGAGTAGACCAGTTATGTTGATCAATATGGCCAAGGCTGAGATGTTGTTTCAGGGAGTCCTTGTATCTTCTCTTTGGGGCTCCTCTCATGTGGCAGCCAGTGGCAAGTTCACCATAGAGTAGGATCTTAGGGAGGCGGTGGTCCTTCATCCTTGAGACGTGTCCTGCCCAACGCAGCTGGGAAATAACAAATAATAATAAATACAATAAAAAGCATGTTTGGGCTTGGCCCAGACACACAGTAAGAATATGACCCTAATTACTCATCAGCACTTTCACCTGCAACTTTATGCAAAAGGATTTGTGTTTTATTGGTGTAGTGGGTCTTCCAGGAAAGGAGAGAGGCACCTTGACAGCCAATCCAGGGGCGAGTCAGAGCTGGCCCCATCATGCAGCCTCCACTCAATGTAGAAAAAGAGGATTTCATTTTCTAGTGCCTGTCAACCCATCACAAATAAAAACAGTGCCTTTAAGGATAAAAACACTGAATTATTTAAATGTAGTAAACTTGTTGCCAGCCATGCACATTAATCGCTTATCAATAATCGTCTGAGTTACATACATTATGTTTACAGGGGATAACTGGCAGCTGCCTCACCATCTCTGCTGGCATCTCCATCAGTTGTCTGTGAACTTTGTTCTGCAATTACTGATTTTCCAGGTGAGCTTATAAGCAACTGCAAGCCCAACAGTGATATCTCTGAGACATTCTCTTCTGTTAGTAAAGTCAGAAAGCAAATCACAAGGCTAAATATTCTTACAGTCAACTTGGGGGTTTTGCATCCTCTTTTACTAGAAATAAAAACTACTTGAATTTTAGGATGCTAAGATTAGAACTAGGGCATTGCTATTGATTGCATCTCTGAAATGGCAAATCATAGAAAAAAAATAAAAAATGTTGGTGTCCAGACACAAATTTTCTCTCGTTTCTTTCTCTAAAAGTTTGAAAATCTATAAAATATTAGGTAAAGATCTTCTTGCTATGATCCACTGTAATAAAAATGTTCAGAAAATTATGGACAAATTATGACCATTTTATATATATATATTTTCTAAAAAATGAATCCTGTAGTATCTCTTGCATTTCTATGCTAATATTGCTAGGTATACTTTTTGCAATTTCTGGGGGAAAAAATAAAAGAAAAAATAATCAGGAAAAGCTGAGAGTGTCATAGTAAGTATAGAGAGGGCAAAGCAATTTCTAAGAAATAAGAACTAGAGATAAAGCTGGCAGGTTAATCTGCTTCACCTTTTTTCCTGTGCTAAAGGACAGTGGGAAGGGCTGTGGTGAGGAGAGTGAATAGAAAGGAACATTGAACAAATCAGGCAAAGGACTGCACATGCTGAGCACCTGGATCTCAGACAGATACAGATGCAAATAAATAATGCTGTGGATCATTTACAGCCTTCCTAAGCACTAATTAACAAAATCTTAAAAGCAAATGAAGAAGACTTTTGACATTTTTGATGCTTTCCCTTGTATTAGACTGGAAGAGTTCTTACAAATGCTGTATCTGATGAGGCAGGACCAGCATGTCTTTTGAGTTTACACTGTGGATAAGAAATAAACACCTGGCTTTCTTCTTGTCTTTTTAGCATAAAATGATCAACACGTCATTTAATACAAGTACAAATACATAATGAATATGAACTGAGGTTCCAGAGTGAGAAACTACTGTTTACAGCAAAACTGGAGTGATGACATGAGGTAACCTGGAAGCTTCAAATGATAACTTTACTGAGATAAAGAATGGATATAAACCATAACCTTTATAAAATCTTCTGTGTTTCACATCTTTTCATGTTAATTTTGGAGAAGGAAACTTACAAATTATAAGCAATAGTAGAGCTGAAGATAGCAATCTTTCAATAAAAAAAATAATAATTAAAATTTTAAAATACACTCTGTCAAGTTTCATATCCCTTCCCCTTTTACATCAATTCACAATGGCATGCATGATATTTAACAGGTGGTTAATATTTACGTAGTCTTGGCAAAACTGGATCCCAGGATGTATTTAACCAGAATGTATCAGTATCATTTATTCATCTGAATTAGTTTTTTTCCAAATTACTCTTACCAGACTGTGAATTCCTAAGGACAGGGGCTGTGGTTCCAGCTCCTCATTTACTTCTGCAAAACATAGAATAATATAGTCCACACACACACAGTTCTACTACATTTCCCTTCTATTTTCCCTTTTCAGAGGGCAACCAAGGTTTTCCTTTCCACTTGCTCTGGTTGAGCATGTGTTAGTTCCCTGGAGTTTAGAAAGTGAGTTCTGGTTTGCACTGGAGTTAGACAAAAGCCAGGCTCATTAATTCCTATAGCTGCTTGAGTGAATCATTTGTCATACACTAAGACAGTTCCTTGCATTGTTGTAAGACACATTTTAAATGTCTCATGTAACATTTTATTTTTTGTGTGAAATATTAAATTTCAGCAGATATACAGGATCAAATTATAACCTGCTCTAATTTAACTTAATTTGCCAAAAGCTGACCAAAGTTTAATTTACTTTTGATCTTCAAATGCTAGAAGAGGTTGGTGTGCTTACACAGACTCATGTCATGGAAAAAATATATATCAAACTCTGTAAGTAAATTACCTGTTTATTCTTGTGTTTTAAGATACATTGATTCACAAAGTAGTTTCTAAAAATCTAGGGTCTTTTTTCCAGAACATACTGGTTTATTGGAACTGAAACTTTTTTTTGCCCTTATACAGTCTTTCTCAGTCCTTTAATTGGGACAATTTTCACAAAAAAAAAAAAATTGAATTACATAGTTCACAGTATAAAAACCTAACCATCACTTAAATTTTGATTTATTTGAAAACTTTCTGGAAATGTCAGAAAATCTGCCTTGATTCCCTTAGGTCAACTAATGTTACAACTACATGAAAGAGGATTTTTTCCCTATACCAAAGAATAAAAATAACCTTGATTTAATCACAGTGCTGAACAGGATTCTTTTTCGAAATGCCAATATTTTACCAGACTATCTTCCACTAAGGCAAATAAGTAACATGGAAAGTTTTTAAGAGGAAATTAATGGTACTATGAAAATACACATATCAGTATGGGGAACATGTATATTAGGGCAGGATAAGTTTCTCATTCCCTTCGCCCATGTAGTGTGTTTATTGTCCATGGAGGATAGGAAGTTAATCTCTTGCTGACTCCAGAGATTTTTCCCTTATAGTGAAAGTTTAAAATGTATCATGGGAACAAAAGTCCTAGACTTGAGAGTCTACATTTTACACAGTAAAATGGAGAATATTGTATACTTCCAGCTTGAGTCAGACAAATACTGATCAGGTTTTTCCCTGTATCTTTGCATCGGAGAAGATTTCCACCAGTGCGACATGGAAATTGCTTGCACTAGGAATGTGCCTCAGCCTCAGAATTTCAGTACCCATGACAGATGGTAATGTTTGTAGAACTTCAACCAAAACTTTTTATTTTCTGTTTTTAGGATTCCGAAATTCAAATGATTATAGTAGACAGACAACTGAATGATTATTTGACCAAGTTTTTATGCACCTGTTCTGCTTCACTTTAAAATTAAATGTATAGCTAAATCAAATGAGAAAATATGGGCTCAATTTTCATCATAACAGCATCAGTATTTATCTTATCTGTGCATTTTATTTACTGAACTTGGTGAAGAATTACCATGTCATGGTTATTAGGTCACGCAGACAATACTTTCCCAGTATCAATGCCCAGCCCCAGGGCACTGTTTGATTTGTTTGCACAAATGTAATTCCTGTGTCCCTGTCATTCTCAGGATCTCTGTTGATGGTGAAAACCAAAACCCAGTGAAAGAGTGTTCCATGCCAATGGGTGGTCTTTGACAGTCAGTACTGCTTTTCTTTAGAACAATTCTCCTCCAAAACTCAGAGGGGAAACAGAAGAGAAAACAATTTGAGCAGAAACCAGGAGAGGAAACAGTCAGACTTCTGCCACCTACACACACATTAACGTTGTTACAACTTTCTCCTGACTCACTGATGATTGACACTTCTTATCTTATATTCTAGGATGCCTTTTTAGATGGAAATGCATGTCACAGAAGTTCTTGGAAACAGAGGCTCAACAGAAGTGCTGTTTTTATGTGTCTCTCCCTTAAGGACATCACTCAATGCCCACCTGATTATATTACACAGCACATAGCATGGAGTGTCCTTTCTTTCAGATGAATTGGTATTTTTGCCATTTACACATAATTGCATAGAAACACGTTCTTAACTTCAAAAAGAAAAAAAAATCATCTATCTACCTAGGACATTTACTACTACTTTGCACCCTCTTCACAAATTATCTGATAAAAAAAAAACAAGTTATGATAGATATGCCTTTCACCTTTTTGTCCAAGCAGTGTTCATTCATCCCTTTGCAATCTTCTAGCAGTCCCAAGGGTACAGGACAAGAAAATGAAGAATAGCAGCATGAATCACAGTGAATGTAATCTGAAAAAGACAGCAGTGCATGCTTAGGAAATTTCCTTTTGTTTCAAGCATCTAAACTTTATTTATCCACAAATACAAGATGATAGACTTCACACTTTCTTTCAAGGTCTTTTCCAAGGACAAAAGTAAAGGTTTGTGCCTTTAGAAAGAGGTTTGTAGTGATACCCCCTCCTATGTCTCGTGACTTTTCAGAGAATTTTTAAACCTGCCCAGCCAGGAACTGCTGTGCTGTACATTCACTGCTTAGACATTCTGCTTCTTTTTTGCATTTGATGCATCAGAGCTCTTCTAGGAAGAGTGAGTTGCCACATTACAATTTCTATGTTATTCCTTTGGAAGTTTTTCCCTAGTTTTAAATTACCATTCCAGAATATTATTTTAGAAATAAAAGTAGGTTTGTGTGTTTGAAACCAGAGCATTAAGAACTCAAGACTTACTAATTTCTTAGAAGGAAGGATTATAAATTATCTAGTCAAGAATCTGTTTTTGAAATAATTATTTTAACACTCATCTTGTTTGGTACCAAATTCATGACAAAAGGGGATCATGCAAAATGAGAGGGCTTAATTTTTGCAACTTAGTGAAAGTGCATAATGTGAAGACAGAAATTTCGTGATTAGAGAGTGAATAATTTTCCATCTCAGACATTCCCATCCTTAAAAATAATTCATTGACCTATTTGCTATAAACCTCACCTCTAACAATTTCAAATTCATTTAGCATTGTATCCACTGCCTTTCTCTACAGAACCTCTATGGCTCTTTTCTCTCTGACCCATTTTTCTCTTTATCTAACGTAGTAAATAAATAAATAGTAAATAGCAAATAAGACAGTAGATTTTATTTTCTTGTTGCCTCTTTTGCCCCTTACTTCCATGTTGTGCTCTGTTCCTGGGAACAATGATCAATGGTAACTAAACAGGTTCTCCATTCAAACCCTAACAATAAAGCTTTGTCTGCCAAACCCTAATTCATAAAAATATCACCTCATCAATTACAAAGTTTTCAACTAAACCCCATAAATCCTCTTTGAGAAGTTGTCTACTCCTTGATGTAGGCAATGAATCTACACATGGGCCCATCGTGTTATGCAGCTCACTGCCATGCCCTAAGAAATCCAAGCAACGTATAACATGTGTGAGTGAGACACCATATTCATCTCAGCTGGCTGTAGGTACTTAGTTAGGAATTTGGATGCCTTATGCATATCCTGAAGTCAACAGGGAAAGATGGACATCACTGGAAACAAATTAACAAATCAACTACAACTTGAATTGTCCTCTGGAGACTCATTCCTTATTCAGTGTCTAAATAAGGTGGTGTCTAAATAGGATGAGTCTGTGAGACTGTCTGATGTCCTGATTGGCAAGGTTATTGGGGAAATAAATAAATGAAAGACTAGAGTCCCTCTATCTCAGCTTTTGAATTGCCCTACTCTTTCTGAATGGGATGAGCAAACCCTCTGAGTCAGTCTTTGGGACTCAATGGAAACCCTGCTGACTAACTAAGCAAGATGCACTGTTTAACAAAAGGAAAAAAGATTGGCAAGAAATTAGCAGCTAATTCTTGTGAAAAATAACCTGCAAGGACATAAAAATCACTGAATCACTTATATAAATAATAGACCTACATGATTTCACTATCGGACTGATGATTTCAGGTAGACAAATAGTTATTATACCTAGAAAATTCAATAAAGGGATAATATGTCTAATATATTTTGCATTCAAAATAAATTATATTTAATTGAAATGTTTCACCAGACTTTATCAGCTGCAGTCTATCCCAAACTAGACACAAAACATACAAGTCATCTCACATTTATGTTAGAGCTACTTAAAGTTTTGCACATATACAGAATCGCAGAACTCTAAGCAAGTCCTGTTTCCTAGTCGGGGCTGATTCAGAACTGGATGTTCTTCTGCTCTGCTGCAGTGCAGCAGACATGACTATGTCTTCTTTAGGGCATATTTAACACACATGCACAATATTTAGTGTCTCAAAAATGAATGTATGGCTATTTGAGCAAACAAAATCCAAAGAAAAAGGTAAAGCTGGTCTTTTTTTAAAATAACTTCATTGTATTTGCAGAACTCATGCAAGATAAATTCAGCTGCCACCTCATCCTAGAAATCTGACCCTCTCACACAGCTCAGGCTCTGCTCATTCCTGAAGTCAAGAATATGACATTATGCAGAAGAGCCTGGACCAAAAAAAGTGCTTGTAAGCAGCAATATCATAGCACTCGACACAGAGTGTGATTTGGCTCTGAGCCCAAATTAGGATACATTTCTCAAGTGAGTTCCTAATTTCCCAGCTGAGACAAGTTTTTCGATTGTTGTTTTTTTTCTGCTCTGTTAAAGTGCAATTAGTTTAATTTAAAATCACAGTGGTTTCAGCAGAGAAGCAGCACCAATTCTTGTCATTCCCAACAGAGTTTGTTCTGCAAACATGTATTTGTTCTAGTGGTGGAAAATCAAATAGATTTCAGCCACAGAAGAGTGAAAAAGAAGACACTCAGCTATCAGCGACTCCTGATCAGAGTCAGGAGGACTCTGCTGCTATTGCCAAGCCAATGCTGGTGTGTGGCAGCAGGAACACTTTTCCTCCTCTGCTCTACTCAAGTTAAACAGATTAGTATAAACCAGCTATTTGACCCATAATGACGTAACCCAGAAGTCCAGCATTGACTCCAGCTGTATCCAGTTGTAGTTTCAACACCCTGCCTACAAAGGGACATCATTTTACAAGCTTAGGATGCTGTTTGTGCAAGGGCATGAGAGGTTGTATCATCCTTGTCACAGTTAGAACAGCTGGGACCAATTCATCACTGGATGGGTGTAACCCAAAACTGTGTATTCTATAGCCTGCCATGCCATTTCCCAGAAACTGTTATCAATAGACCATTTACACCCTCTGCCCAGAGCAGCCTGACTCCTCAGGCTATAAACTGGGTGTTAAGAGGCCTGCGAGATAGGAAGATGTTTCTGTCCTCACACCCTTTTATGGAATTCCCCACTCTGAGGGAAGGACTGAGCATTCCTGCCTGAACTGGAGAATATATAAACTTGGAGTTTTGGAACCTTTTTACCACTCATGGGATCCAGAGGAAGACTGCAGCTCACCGCTCTCAACCAGACTGAGACCACCACCCTCAACCAGACTGCAATCACCACTTTTGACCAGACTTCAACAGCTCTCCCACCATCAGGTTTTTCCCCTCTCCCTTTACTTTGGACTCAGGGGTGGCCCAAGGAACACCACTTTGTTCATGCCCCAGGGTGCTGGCTTGTACATTTGGGTTTTGTGGGTTAAGACCACTTGTTTGTCTGTATAATCGTACTTATTGTATTATTTTATTAAATTGTTATTCTGATTTATAATCTCTCTTTTGAGTTGAGTTCATTTCCCCTGCTGGTTAACTTTTAAACCAGCACAATCCTGCCTGGACCCAGGGAAAGGTATAGTCCAAGTGTCCCTGGGGGCTATTGGCTGATGGCTAAGAGCTAGAAGGCTGTGCTGTGTGCTCAAAAAATATAAATATAGTTTATACATTCATCAATAAAAAGATAAATTGTCCCAAGACCACAAAACTCTGTGTTGGTTTTATCCCAAACATCACTGGCTTTTGCAAAGGCACTTATAAAATCCAATGAGGGTGATGATGTGATTGAACTCAGACCAGAGAGTTTAATGGACGGAGTTGTGGTTTGGAACTAAAGCTTCACTTATGTGGAAGAGCTGAGCACACCTGAAAGCAATTAATTCTTCTGAACCAACTTTAATTTAATGTCAAAATAAACATGTACCTTGGTATTTACTATGACAACATTTAAGCAGGTCCTCAGTGGTGAGATAGCATTTACTGGCATCATAAAATGAAGTTTAATGATTCTCAGTGCTTTCAAGAAGTTGACTGGATCAGTTAAAAAAATTAATCTATTTGCAATACATATAACAATGAGATTTAAAAAATTATCCTTGTATCTTTATGAACCATGTATAATAAAGTAGAGGAGGGGGGAGGAATTCAAGGCTTTTCCTTGCTGGCACAGAAAGGAAGAGAGTGACCAGAAGCTTATTCTCTCTCCTCACAAATTCATTAATCCTCATTTGTAACTTCCTGTATGAGAAGGAAGATACATTTTTTTGGTGATGGAAAACTGTCTTTACCATGTTCCTGTGTATGAAGTGCTATGCTGCAGCTCACAGAAAAACTTCAATTCAAACATAATCCGTGTTGGAGTGGGTCCAGAGAAGGCCATGAAGATGATCAGAAGGCTGGAACACCTCTCCTAGGAAAACAGGCTGAGAGAGCTGGGGTGGTTCAGCATGAAGAGATGTCTCTAGGGAGACTTCATTGCATCCTTTCAATATGCAAAGGAGGCTTATAAGAAATACAGAGAGAGACTTTTTACCAGGGCCTGTAGTGACAGGAGAAGAGGAAACATTTTTAAACTGAAAGAAGTTAGATTTAGATTGGACATAAGGAAGATATTTTTTTTTATGGTGGGGGTGTTGAAGCACTGGAACAGGTTGTCCAGAGAAGTTATGGATGCCCCATCCCTGGAAGTGTTCAAGGCCAACCTGGATGGGGCCTTGAGCAACCTGATCAGCTGAAAGATGTCCCATGGCAGGGGTGTTGGACTGGATGATCTTTAAAGGTCCTTTTTAATGCAGACCATTCTGTGATTCTATGAAAGATCACTAATGTTTATGAAAGCTATACTTCTGGCTTTGGTATACTTGGAGTGAAGCCTGTATGTCCACTCTGCATAATGACCCGGAAAACTACCACTGCCCTCCTGCAGGGACAGGGATTTGCTACACTCCCTCACACACTGCCCTCTGTACCCTCTATAGGGGAGGCATCTCAGCTAACAGGGAGAAGATACACTTCTTTAGTGGATGGAGTTTTCTTCTCTACCCCTCATGGTAAAACCACACCTTGTAGAGTGAAGATACTGAAGAAAGGCAACAGATACTTCCAAGAACATCCAA